TTTACTATAACATTCGTAACGCATTTGAAGAATTAATATAAGATTATACAGAACTTTGTAGTAGCGTAATTCTAATTAGTCAAAATAAGATTAAAATGCACCCAATTTTCTTCTGCACAAACAATTACCCAATAAGATAAACATTAGACCAAATAAATACAACGCAAAAATCTAATTATAATGGTTAATTTATGCCGGCTAACACGTATGTGTAAAGCGTGGATCGCAATTTGCCTGTAGGTACATACGTAAGCAAAAAAGACTTACCAGTACAAGCTTTGGTCTCTTTTAATTTCAACGACTTTTTCTGAGTTAAAGCACGATTTGAGGCACGTTTGTTGGCCATCTTGGTATATCAATATAATATATGTTATAATAATTTTAAACAAACAATAACAAATGTACATAACAAACTGAAACCACCATATTGTATGACGGCGGCGCTGCTGCTCTTCACTGAGCAACTGTTTACAGCTGATTATACATAGCGTTGTATATGGGTTATGTACATATTGCAATATATAATGTACAAATAAATAATTGGTAAAAGTAATTCTTATCGCCTTATCTGCAATTTCTCGCGAGGCGTGAGATAAGGTTTTTTTTAAATTTGGCAAGGTTTACACATTCCGCGAGCTTTTGTTTTGAACCTAGTTCAAGTTAAATTTAACCATATAATTAATGTTAATATATGATAAACAAAAACTGTATTACGTAAATGTACCGAAAACAAATAAAAATTACACTCATTCTTAATCCAGCCATGTAAAAATTTCACAATAATTTATACAGTGAGGTACCAACCTGATGATAAATACCGAGGTTACAATCAAAAAAATTTTACCCATATAAATATCTTACGCAATTGTACTCAAACAAATTAACAAATTACATAATTGTCATTAATTTAACGATATTTTAACAAAACTGCGTCCATCAGCAAAAAGAAATTCATTATTATTTCCCTTTTTGTTTGTATTTGTATAACTGCAAATTTATAAGCCAATTTAACAAGAAGTAAATATAATTAATTTAATTTAAACTAATTTACTTCTTTTTCTTAAACGATTGATCTGCTTTAACATATTTAAAAAAATCAATTTTAAATTCAATAATTTAATAAAGTTGAAGCTAGCGACATCTTTTATATATTCTGAGTGTATTTTCGGGGAGGCAAGTTTCTACCATGTTCGACGACAGAAGGCGCGACAATGAAGAAAACCTGAAATTAAGCTTTCATTACGTCACTGTAATTTAAATTTACGCACTTTTGACCAGATATGCTCATATATTACAAAGTATTAATCAATTTTTAATCATAGAAATTCCTAATAATTCGAGAAAATTTTTGCATAATAGAGTATATTTTGTTTGTTAAATATTAAATATAGAAAGCCTCGCGGATTTTATTACTAAATGTTATTTTCTCGTTATTTTGTACATTAGTTGTAAAAGAGACCTTAATAATAGTATAAATTTGTTAAAAAGTCACTGTCATTACTTGCGAATCGATAGATTTTTGTCAAATTTGACACTTTGGGTGAGAGAAATTTATTTAGTTTTACTTCTTTATTAAAACTGTAATTTGCTTAAATGGATTTACCGAACATCGACAATTATTACTTAAAATCTAAGAAATCCGGGGGTTTCCTGAAGAGATCATTGTCTACGATAGGACTCGGTCATGCAACCGCAAATTTAACATTAAGGGAAGCACGATCGTTCACAGGGGCTGTTGAAGAACTGAGAAGTTGTAACCCAAAGAAACAATACATTTGTCAAGTAAGAAATTTGTACAAGAAGCAAAGAATTTACAGATTTACATAAAACTCCAATAATATTACCCCAATTGCGTAAAAATTATGGCTTATCTTCCAAATGGGACCCACGAACGATACCTTTTGGGAAAACATACATAGATCAAGACTTTTCGAATGGTACCTGTATTATTTCGCGGTAGAGAAGGTGACCCATGACCCATTTCAGCAACAAATACTTATTTGGAACCTCACATAGTCTTCCCTAGGGAATTTCTAGCCCTTCTTCATATTGGAGGCTCCAAATTTAGCATTTGTTCCCAAGATGGGTCAGTGGTCAACTAGTAGTAGGTGGTACCATTTAAAAGGTCTAAAACTCAACTGCAAAATTCATTATCATCTGTTCCGAAGGTCATTATCAGTTCTTTGCTTCTAAATAAAATTGGACCAGTATTTTTAAAAAGTATCCAAGTGGACCGTACATCTAAACTTAATCAAATAATAACAAAAAACAAAAATAGACGGTAATATGCAATTTAAGTCTTGTTTTTTTCTGAATCGTTTATTTGAAGCACGAACACGGTGTACATTGCCACGCTATCTATGATGATTACGACGCCGCTGACGAAAAAGGATTTCAGACAACGGAAGTGACGTCGAATCAGATATTCATCGTCAAGGATGAGATGCTAACTTACCGGGGTACCAGATATTCGCTGAACGACATCGCAATAAGATGGAAAAAAGACTGCAGGACATGGCTCTGGAAAAGTAAGCTTGGCAGAAGAAGAAACAGATCTCTGGGAGAATTGCGAGAGAAAATGCAAAATGCCAAAATTCAAAATTGATATCTCATTAATCAACTTTTTCTTCTTGATGTAGTATTTCTTTACGCCTGTATCAGTATTATTGTTTATTATACAATTATTTTTTAACTTTGATTCGAATTTTCGTAATACATGTCATCATCATCATCATCATAAGGTCGTCAGTCCTGAGACTGGTTGGACACGTACCTTCACTCTTTTCTATCCTGAGCCAAACTTCACATTTCCCTAAAACTAGAACAACCCACATCCTTAACTATTTGCGAACAGTAATCTAACCTAGGTCTACCTCCACCCCTCCCTACTCCTGTTTCTGCCACTAGTATGTCTGTGACTAGACCTTCATGCTTGAGAAGGTGTCCCACTAACCCATCTCGCCTATTTCTTATTGACTTCCATAGAGTCCTCTGTTCTCCTATTCATTCCAATACCTCTTCATTTCTAACCTTTTCTACCCACATTATCCTCATCATTCGCTTGTAGCACCACATTTCGAATGCTTCTAACCTTTTCTTTTCCGCCGCGCCCACTGTCCATGTTTCGCACCCGTACAACGCCGTGCTCCAAACATACACCTTTAACAACCTTTTTCGAATTTCTAAATTAACCGTTCGCGAGCNCCAGATATGTAAAAATTTCACAATAATTTATACAGTGAGGTACCAACCTGATGATAAATACCGAGGTTACAATCAAAAAAATTTTACCCATATAAATATCTTACGCAATTGTACTCAAACAAATTAACAAATTACATAATTGTCATTAATTTAACGATATTTTAACAAAACTGCGTCCATCAGCAAAAAGAAATTCATTATTATTTCCCTTTTTGTTTGTATTTGTATAACTGCAAATTTATAAGCCAATTTAACAAGAAGTAAATATAAATAATTTAATTTAAACTAATTTACTTCTTTTTCTTAAACGATTGATCTGCTTTAACATATTTAAAAAAATCAATTTTAAATTCAATAATTTAATAAAGTTGAAGCTAGCGACATCTTTTATATATTCTGAGTGTATTTTCGGGGAGGCAAGTTTCTACCATGTTCGACGACAGAAGGCGCGACAATGAAGAAAACCTGAAATTAAGCTTTCATTACGTCACTGTAATTTAAATTTACGCACTTTTGACCAGATATGCTCATATATTACAAAGTATTAATCAATTTTTAATCATAGAAATTCCTAATAATTCGAGAAAATTTTTGCATAATAGAGTATATTTTGTTTGTTAAATATTAAATATAGAAAGCCTCGCGGATTTTATTACTAAATGTTATTTTCTCAATTTTTTACCCAATCCTCTTTATTGCTCACCCCAGTAAATACTTCGTAACCAAAAAGCGACACAAAACCTGCAAGTTCTACCGTAATATGTTCAGTGCATTCGTTTATAACCATTTAAATATAACTTTACTTTAAAACCAATAAATAAACCCAGTAAATATCATTAAACGAACTGAATTAGTTAATTAACAAATTAATTATTAGGCATAATAAAATTGTTTTGCTAAAAATCAAATCTAGAATGATTCGTAAGTTCCGGGTCTCGAATCATGACCTACGCCATACAAAACCAAAATAATACATGATACGTAGATACCAAATGGACTTCAAGTTATCCAAGGACGAGCGCCAAACATTTTTTTTTACATTAATTCACACTTTTTGTAATACACTGGCAAATATGAACATTTTTCTTAGAAGAACGTTCATAACAGACAATAATAATAGTCAGCTAAGTTTATAAAGTGCTAATATGTTTATAATTGTTTACTGTATACCAAGAGTACATGCTATTCACAAAATGCCTTTAATTACTCCACCAGGAGTGTTTAGTCTGCAAAACAGATCAACAAATTCGAAAAATATCGCTAAATATAGGATACCGGAACATTGAATTAAATCGTCAAATAAATAACATAGAATTTTAAAGCGTAATAATATTTACTAACAAGTACACAAAGAATAATTTTTAAAAAATAGTAGGTACAGGATAACAAATACTGTCGTTGTTTCGTGTTTGTCCGATACACCAAGTTCAAGGTTATAGTTTTTATTTCCAATTATAGAAGGACGAATATCAGCCGGTGATAATCATAATAAATTGTAAAATAGTTTTATTTCAACGAATACGTAGTTAAAAATATACGTAACTACCCTTCACATTTTCCCATTAAACTCTTTAATTCATGGAAGAAGAGAGTTTTTGTACGAAAAAATTATGCTTTTATACTTAAATCTATTTAAAACTAGCGAGCAAGAAATGGTGAAGGCGCTCGGTTAAAAGCATACTTATATTTACAGGGGTTTTCGACAATTTTCTTGAGTTTCTACACATAATAGGCAAACACCTTTCATTTGATATTCATTTTAATATTCGTTATTCGTTTTTAAGTTGCTTCTATACCGACAATAATAATAATACTTATCACATATCAAAAGCTCTTTACAAGTTACTAGTAATTAAATTAATATATCTGTTTGATCATAATGTGTAATTGAATGAAAAAGATAACCTATCCCAATTGGACTTCCTTCATTGATATTAAGGAAATTGAAAAATGCGCGTCAAATAAACGCTAAGAATATTGATATCATCTATATGAAAAAGTTACTGATACATACATACATCCATACATATAATAAAGTCTTTGGCAACGCTAAATTTTTAGGATACTTAGAGTTTAATACCATGATATAAAATATTTGAGCGATACATTTAAAAAATTAGTAGGTACTGTTTTAAATTACGCTGTGCTTATTAGTATTTCAGAGTATTAATTAATTATGTAATTAGTGTATTACCTATGTCTTTCAATAAATTGGAAAAATACTTACATATTTTTATCTGAGATTCAATTTTTTAATGGTGTAAGGATTAATAGATTAATACACTTTAAATTTGAATAAAAATATGGATTTATAGGTACAAAAAATTCCCATGAATTATTTATATTTAACTTTTTATTGATCTTGCCAAGTAATACTTGTCCAAATATTTATGTTTTTATTTTTTTTTTCT